CAAGGGTGCTTCAGAACTGAAGAGCCTACACTGCATTCCCCTCATCACCTGCCTGGCCACCTACTTCCAGATATCACTGCAGGGGTGCACAGAGCAGGGGGGGAACTAGTGCTTTCAGCAAGGACACGATCAAGAGTATGCACCTGCTGCGAGTCGAGCGAGGCGTCAAGTGGATCGCAGGGTTTCCTGATCCTCAGATCCCAGCAGAGGACCAGCCCGATGCTCCTGAGGATGAGGCTGCTGAGGATGTCCACCCCGAGGATGTGGATGATGCTGGTGCCCCCCGCCCGACCACTTTCAAGTACGGGGGTAGCAGTTCCACCTTCCCATCCCAAGACTACTTCACTCACCAGTTCCAGCAGCTGAGCATCCAGAATCATCGACTCCTCGATCATCAGCTCTAGTTCCACCAGCAGTACTCGGCTCCCCAGGCCGAGTATCAGACACGGATGGCTGCCTATAATGAGCGACTGGACCGTATGGAGACCCAACAGAGGGTGACTCTGGCTCACATCGAGCGAGAGAAGGCCCGCTCTTGGCATATGCAGGAGGTCCAGCAGCACCTGCTCCAGCTGATACCGGGCGAGCAGCCAGTCTGGAGGACTCCTTGGGAGGACTCTCCCCTTCCACCCCCGGCCGCCGGAGATGACGCCTTCATGGACGACATCGACTTCGACAACCTTGGCGATGAGTAGTCTGTACTCGTCGCCCCTCAATGTGTGTTTTTGTTTTAGACTTTTCGTGTTTGCTCCATGTGTTTGAGGAGCTCGAACTGTGTCTGTCGTTTGTTTTTTGTACTTTTTTGTGGATTGTCTATTGTGTGGCCATCTGGGCTAACTCTGATCCCTAACGCACAACGTGCTAGTGTGTTCTTGATGTTCCCTTCGTGCAAAACTGTCCGTTCGGTCCATATGTTCCCCGCTGAATGGTCCACTTCCAGTCTCCTGGCAGTATTTCAATTTGGTAACATCGTTCCCCTTATCTTTCCCTCTGCTCCATTAAGGTAATGTCGTGCTTAAGTGTGGTGATGGGGGGGGGGGGGTGTTTCTCTATCTTTGACTACTAGATGAGTTTGTGTGCTTGGAGCCTAGTCCACTGTCCAATTTGATGAATTGAGGGCTCCAAGTACTGTTGCCTGCAAAATCCTGCTCAATATATTTTGAATTGACAGTCTTTATGGTGATATGCAACCTAGGGAGGTAGTTGTAGCACTATGGAGGATGTTGAAGTATAAGATTTTTCCAATCTGTCTCTCTGTTGTGCCGGTTGATTTTGTGAACTAGTGGATTTAGGACCGTTGATTCATGTGGTATTGATCAATGCAGTTAAAAGCGCGATTCTACCTAGAAGCGGAAAATGGGTAAAATCGTAAAACGTAGAATCAAAGCATAAAAGCGTAAGTTTTTGACGCGCCCTCTAAAATAGCTAAAATATGTTAAGTACAACATATAGCATGTAAAATGTGAGTGTGTAGATTTTAGATAAGTGAATAACTACATGAAATTCATAATTAAAATTTAATATCTAATACATAAACTAATTTGTGTTGACTCAAAAGTAGAGAAAACTCATAACACCTTAATAATAAGCTCATAAACGTAGATCGTACCCGTAAACGAGCTTGAGATTCCAAATTCTCATAAGCTGGTTTGATTTTACATAATTACATAAGATCAATTATCCATAAACTTTTATCGTAACACAGGTAAGAGCCATAGGTGAAGATTAAGGGAGAAGACTGGTAGAAGGTCATCGGCTGTTGAGAATACCATTAGGTGTCTTTTCAACCTAATGTGAAGCCCCTATCTGACATTAGTTGTAGAACGAGTGATGAATCATGTTTTCCTTCTTTTATTTTTTGTTGATATGTCTCCAAAATTACATCATTTTGGACCAATTAGCACAGTTTTATGAGATGAACAAAATTGTATAAAAACACTTCAGAATCGCGATTTTACCGATTTTAAGCGATTTTACCGATTTTACCCATGTTTATACCAGTTTTTGTGACTAAGCGACTTTAGATAGAAACTGAAACGTTTTGGTGGCCTTGATACCTAAAACGTAAGTTTTTACGTTTTAATGCGCGATTTTGACTGCAATGGTATTGATGACTCCTCTTATGTTGTGTTGTGGACTCATGTATCGAAAAAGGGTGCTCATGTGAAAAATGAAAAGCAGTTGGTCCTCCATGTCAAAAATTTGAAATTCTAAGACATGGGGTAAGCCCAACGTGTGTGACACCGTTCATTGCACAAAATCTGATTTTGGAAGAGATATTAGTGATCCTTGGTTGGGTAGGCCTACAAGGTGAAGCTAAGTTGTCTCTAGTACAAATAAAATTTCCACCCTTTGAATGGTTTGCCTACTTGAGGATGTGTTTTAAGGGCACGGATAGAGCTTCCGACCCCCCTTAATTTCATTGACCCTCCACAGGAAGTGAGGAATAGGAGTTAAAAGAAGTACTCTGGCGAGTGACAGATGTACAGAAATTTCTCTTGCTCACCCAATAAGGATAGACCGCGTATACAAACTGCAGTTGGAACCTCAGCAAAGAAAAAAAAAATTAGTAAGAAGAAGGGGTGCCAACAAGTGAAATCAAATGAAAGAGCACCCGATACAATGAGTCATTGGTTGTCGAATTGTGTGTGTCTCCTTACCATCAATTGAATGTCTTAATTCCACTGCTTCTCATGATCCTGGCTTGATTCTAGTACTCGCATTGAGAGAGATAGGAGGCGTCTTAGAAGACCAGTTGACCTCGTAAGTTTCTAAATGATCTAGAAAATCATCTGCCGACGATCGGGGTTGCATGTTGCTATAGAGGTCTGGAGAGTTGTATTGGTTTGAGTCAGGTTTGCTTGGGGACAAGCAAACGGTTAAGTGTGGGGGAGTTTGATAGACCGTTAATTGCACATGTTTTTACCCCTATACTTGAGTCGTTTGAGATGTCGATTCTCGTGTTTTAGGTTGATTTCATGCTAGGTTATGCTTGTTTGTGATATTTCAGGTCCTAGTACGTGAATGAAGGTTTGGGAACGAGTTCGGGGTCGATTAGACGAAGTTTGGACGTTTGACGAGAAGCTGAGAAGCCACACGGGCATGCCTAAAAGCGACACGGACGTGTAAGGGAACCCATGTGGCAGTGTGGAAATTCCAGGGAACTCACACGGACATCCTGGAAATCCACACGGCTGTGTGGTTGTGGCAGTGTAGGATGGCTGGAAATCACTTAATCGAAACTCAGCGTTTTGACACTCACACGGGCAGCTGGGAAAGACACACAGTCGTGTGGCCTGCCCGTGTGGTCGGGATTTTCTGGGTTTTAACCCAAATTCGAGCAAAAAAGAGAGGGAGTCGACTTTTTGGAGCAAAAACAGAGTTTTAGAGGGAGAAAGTGCGAAGAACAAACCCTAGGAGCTACTTGGAGTGGATTTCTCAACATTGAAGCCCAGATTGCATCCCCAGGAGTGAAGATTGACATCCCAAGAGTTTTAGAGCAAATTTTCCTCATCTTTATGAGTATGACTACTCTGATTTCTGTTTTCCTCTCTCTCTCTCTCTCTCTATGGAGTAGAACCTTCTCTCACTTGGGTGTGAAGAACCCTAGTTCCATGTGTTAGGGATCTTGATTGTAGTAATGACTTGGGATTGTTATATTGTTTGATTTTAATCGATTGATGCATGATTCATTGAATCAATTGAAGTCTAATCATCTTTTCTTGATTTCTGCTGCAACCTGAGATAGATAAAATCTGATTAGGTTGTTAGAGCTTCATCATTCGATAGTGGTAGATTGGTTATACGAGAGTTAATCAATCTACTGCTTTGTACTGAACCCAATTCCAGTAGTGGAGTTCTGTGCTTTTTGCCTCAGTTTTCTATCCCGGTGAAGACTAGTCGTCTGCCGGGTTGATAATTAGAACTTGCCGCTTTACTGCATTTCCGAACTGCGATTACACTTGGTCACAGTTTGGTGTTGTGTCGTGGCGTGTCAAGACGCGTCTGGCCGGGGAATAAGGGAGGTCTTGTCTTAGGATAGCCACCTGATTGCTTATATGAGCAAGACTTTAGCTTCATCGAAGGAAGCGTGGTCGACCTACAAGAAGGAAATGCAGGCTATCATCACCGCAGTTCAGATGTGGCGACCCTATTTGCTGGGGCAGAAGTTTCATATTAACACTGAACATCAGATCCTGAAGCATCTGCAAGGGCAGAAGGTGTCTACCCCGGACCAGCATAAGTGGGTAGCGAAACTCCTTGGATACGACTATGAGATTCACTACCTGCCCTGACCGATGAACGTGGTAGCATATGGGTTATCAAGGCGCCAAGGCGGGGAGGTGTTGCCAGTGATCTTGGGACTGGTGCCGCAGTTCTGGGAGGAACTTCAAGCCACTATGGAGACTCACCCCTACCTTCAGGACTACAAGGCGAGGGCGATGAGTCAGGACCCCGGTGGGTATACCTTCCGGGGTGGTTTCTTGTTCTTTCATGACCATATTCTGTTGCCTGCAGTTTCTCCATTGTTGACCACGATCCTACAGGAATTCCAGGACATACCCATTGGAGGCCATTCCGTACACGAGCAGCCCTGAGACAGATCTGAGCCCACTTCTATTGGCCTCGGATGGCGGATAAGGTACAACAGTATGTCGCCTCCTGCGACACTTGTCAGTGGGTGAAGCCCTCGTTATTGAGACCGACGGGTCTCCTAAAACCATTACTGGTGGCAGAGAGAGTATGGGAGGATTTAAGCATGGACTTCACAGTGGGATTGCCGCAATCAGGAGGGAAGAAAATATTGTTCGTGGTGGTTGATCGACTCACGAAGTACGCGCACTTTATGGCATTAGCTCACACATATACAGCAAGGACGGTGTCAAAGCAATTCGTGTTGTCGGCCTCGTCATTGGCTAGCCATGCTGTTGTGGTACGAGTTATGGTATAATACAACTTACCATCGTGCCATTCGGACGAATCAATTCGAGGCACTGTATGGTCGAGAACCTCCAGTGGTGGTCCGGTACAGTAAGGCGACAAGTGTAGTGGACGTCGTGGATCGATGGATGGCGGCCGAGATGAGGTGCTGAATTAGCTGAAGAAGAATTTGGCCGCTGCTAACAACCAAATGAAGCAGCTCGTAGATGGGACTCGTCGGGAGGAGGAATTCGAGGTCGGCGATTTGGTGTTGCTGTTGCTGCACCTTTATCGACAGACATCTGTCTTTCGATGCTCTTACCAGAAACTTGCAGCCCGATATTTTGGACCGTACATGGTTATTGAGAAGGTGAACCCGGTGGCCTATAGATTGCATTTGCCTGCAGAGGCTGCCATCCACGCTACCTTTCATGTATTTTTACTAAAATGGTACAGGGGGTCGGCGAATCAGGAGGAAACAACAGCGCCACCAATGTTTGTAGATGGTGATTTGGAGTTGGAGCCGCTGGAGGTGTTGGATACGAAGTGGGTGCGTCGGGGCGGTCGTTTGCGCGAAACCAGCCTGGTTCGATGGAGACATGGTTCACCGGAGGACGCCACGTGGGAGGACACAGAGACATCACATCAGACATACCCAACTTTTGACATTGAGGATCATGTCGTTTCTGAAGGGGGGAGGGATGATAGAAACTCGGTTGAGGGCGGGTCGGTCGAGTAGGAAAGCCCGAGTGGCTAGTGTTATTTTATTATTTTATTATTCCTATTAGTACTTAAACGTTGGTGTTAGTTCTGGAAGGGTTATGAATAAGATTACATTGAAAACCTAATCCCTAATTTCTTATATTCTCTTCTTCTCCTCAATTTGAATACCTAATTCCCAATTCTCGACTCTTCTTGATTCTTCTTCTATCAACTTTGTGGGTGGATAGATGCTGCTTCTGGTATAATTCGTATATATGTAATATGAACAACAGGTTAGGCAACCGGAACAAGCTGAATAAGTTAGGAATGAATATGTATAGAAAGTACGACTAAGTAGGTTTTGAATAAGTTAGGGGGTAGTTAAGGCCACTATCGGCCTGCAAACGATTAGCATGCACATATTCAGATTCTCACTATTATATATAGTTGGTGTGGTGTCTTTTAAGATGATTTGGTGACTGTGGGATTAGCTCAGTCGGCCAAATAAGTCCATCATCCTGCAAAGTAAGATGAATTTAGGATGGGGTCGAGTTTCTGGCCCAGAGTTCTTGAATGGTTGTTTGGTTTGAAACCATTTCTGCATTCATGGAGCTTGTTTACTTGAATTTATTTACAGTAAGGTCTTAGCTTCTCTTAATTGTCATCGTCTTAGGTGTACTGCCAGTATATTAGACTTTTACATGATAGTTCATTCAATCTGCCAGTTTAAGGAAGAGATGCGTAGATCTGCATTCTTTAGACTTAGGATCTGACCTGCACTTCCTTTTAGCATCAAGGCTGGGATATTGGTTTTGGTTTCTCGATTTAAACCGAAAATGATAAGAACATTATTTGTTTTCGGTTTTCCGCCCTTAACTGGTTTGTATATTTTTGGTTTCGGCTTAAATCGAAGAACCGATAAGAAACCTAAACCACAACATTAGTTGATGGGGTGCAAGAGTTTTGGTTTTGAATTTGAGGGTGTATGGGTTTCGGTTTTTAATTTGTTCTAACCAAACTCGTTACCGGCTTATCGATTTTCAAGTTCTAACCGAACTCGTTAAGACTTATCGATTTTCGGTTAACCAAAAATCGATAAGCTCGTAACAAGTTCGGTTTTCGATTATAAAAAAACAGTCTATTTCGATTCTTATGGTTTCGGCTCGGTCCTACTTTTAGGTTGCGACTTGCTTGCAAGAGGTAAATATTGCATTTTGGAAAATATGGTAGGTGGCTCCAATACTCCGTAAATACACTAGGAAGCGGTAATGGATGCCACCTGTGCATTCTATTTTACAAGAGAGGTCACCCTAAAAGCTCTCTCAAGAACGTTGGTTTCGCGGATGTTGTTCGGTGGACTCTCTTTTGGGCCTCTACAAAATGGGCGAATAGATATGACAAGGCCTATCGAGGCACAACCTAGTAGTCGTAGACAAACTCGCCCTTGTCCTTTCAAGTTTGGTTGCTTGCTTCTTTTAGGGTTAATGTCATATTTGGTCACTGGAATTACTAAATAGTGTTATGTTTAGTCACTAGAAAAAATTAATATCAAATTTGGTCACTCGAATTAGTAAAACAGGTCATATTTAGTCATTCTTCGTTAGTTTCCATCAAACTACGCTAATGGAATTCGTTATGTTGTGACGTGGCTCAGTGACGGACCTAGGAATTTTACATAGGAGTGTCCTCTTTTAAAAAATAAAATTAAAAGTAAATTAAATTATTTTTAAATAAGTAAATACATGACTAGTAAAAGTTTTAAAAAATCTACGATGTGTTTTCATATTAGGAAATAATTGTAAAATACACTTGGTGTCTACACTGTTCAAAATAATTGTCTTTGTATATCTTACTAGACAATCATTCACGAGTTGATCGCATATTAGCTTTGTAAACTTGTTCTTGATGTAACCTAGAGCTGAAAAGACTCTTTCAACACTTGTCATACAACCATAAAACCAATACAAATTAAGGGTAGCTTGAAATAAATTTAATTGTTTGGTTTTGAAAATAACTAGAGATAGTGAATGACATTTTACTATTAGACTGTTTAAAATCTAACAATTAATGAGTTGTAGCTTAATGAAAATTATGTTGATTAATAATAACACTGTTCTAAGTTTGAATTATCCAACCTAACCCTTCTATTCCCATACACAAATTTAAATTTTGATAATAGGATTATCATTTTTTCAAATTTAAGGGGTGTCCCTCACAATCAATTATAATTTTTTTGCCCATACGTAAATTACCAACAAGGGTTGGATAGTCGTTTTCCCAATTTAGTGGTATCCCTAGCACCCCCAAAGTCCCATGGGTCCGTCCCTGACATGGCTAACGGAAGCGTCTAGTTAGCAACGTTTTGGATCAAAAATGGTAAAACCCGATCTAACCCGCCACGTCACTAAACCTACCATGTCATACACCCAACTCGAACCAGAACCAAGCCCTAGCCCACTTAACAAAATAAAATTGGAAAATCGATCGGGCTAGTGGCCATTTTCAGACCAAAACCCTTTCCCCTTCCTTGCGAAGCTCTGCTCCTTTGTCGATCACCATCCAATCACAAGTTCGATTTCCCCATTGCCCTGCCTTCTCTCACTAAGAATTGTCACTACCCATTACGTGCTTCGTCTTCTTGTTTCCGTTCCTAGATTGCGTTGAACACTGTTCGACGAAATGTCTGAAACACGTCGACCACGAAATACAGAGCAGGAGAGCAGCTCCAACTCGTTCTCCTCCTCTTCACCGCCGTCTTCCCTAATGAAACAACATCAGCAGCAGCGACAAGATCATGACGATAATGGGGACTCACCGAATTCCTCTGCTTCCACCAACAAGAAGACAAAGTGGATACGGGACTGCAACAGCAAGCACCCAGTGTACTAGGGAGTTCAGATGCGGGCCTGGGGGAAATGGGTATCGAAAATCAAGGAGCCGCACAAGAAGTTGAGAATATATATGGTTGGGTACTTTCTCGGTCCCTGAAATAACGGCGCGCGCCCACAATGTGGAGGCACTCTGCATCAATTCTCAATTTCCCTGACCTGGCCAGCTCCCTGCCACGGCCAGTCTTGGTCGCTCCGCATGACGTTTAGGCGGAGGCAGCCAAGGCCGTCCTTATGGACCAATTCGACGGGAAGCGGACGCCGGACAACGATTCCGGACGTCCCTGCTGTCGTGGCCGCGTTGGCATCTTCGTTGTCGTCAATGAAGAAAGAAGAGGAGGGGTTGAGCAAGATTATTGAACTGCCGAGTCTGAGCGATTTTGGGGCAAGCTAAAGAGCGAGTTTGTGTTCGTTGACTTGGTGGTGGACGGTTGACTGTACCCGCCGATGTGGTCGCCGGAGGACTGTGGTGGTTGGACGACCGGTAGGTATGTTAGTGGTGGTGATGGGCTCAGGTTTGGTTCAGGGTCGGTTTGGGTGTATGACGTGGCAGGTTTAGTGACATGGCGGGTCAGATTTGACCATTTTCGGGCAAAAACCGCGCTGACTAGGCGCTCCCGTTAGCCACGTCAGCACATAACGAACTACATTAAGGGTGTTGGACGGAGACTAACGGAGACTGACTAAATATGACCAAATGTGCATTAACTCCTTTTAGAGTTCACAAACAAATTCTCAGGTGAATTGCATCTTTACCTCTTTAGTCACTAGCACCGGGCCCGGTCGGTTGGCCGGGAATAGTCCAATATATCATTACAAATCTTTTTCATTATTTACAATATTTGTTGACCACGATACAAGTTATAGATTTAAAATTTTATGATTTGAAAGAGCACACTCTGCCGCTCTGGATTGATATGCACAAATGAAGGTAAAAATTGCTAGTTCAAAATTTGTTATTTTTCCTCATAAGTTCCAAATTCACTTAATAAGCACAAAAGATTAGGGACAAAAATCAAGTACTGCATTAAAATTGAAAGATCAATTTGATGAAGATCTTATTATTATTCCACAACAACTGAAAGAGACGAATTTTTGAAATCTCGCACCAAGAGAAACATTTGATAACATATTCAACAAAATTGTTCCAAATCCTTCCCACAATAAATTAAGGAGTCACACTCCTCCCAGCTCCAAATATTCATCTCCAAATTTAATTTTTTTTTTACATGCATACCCAAAAATTCAATTTGAAGTATGATTCAGTTAGCTTATAAAACTAAAAGGAAAATACACATGTTATTGCAATTAATATTACATAAAACATTGAATAAATTTAGGAGTTAGGAAAACAAATTTGATCGACCAACAAAAGAAAATGCATTCAACATAGATTTTAGTAGATTATGAAGAAGGGGAAGATGTCATTGGGAGACTCAAATTAGGTTGACGGAAAAGGAGGACGAAAGAAATTAATTTATGGGTCAAGAGAATGAGGGATAACGAAGCACAATAACAGCGACAGGGGCCACGTTTATTAACCAATATGCTTTTTGTACAATAGAAAACAAAACATGAACAAAAAGAAACTACTATTTCACGAAGGAAAAAAAACATGGTTGAAAATTTATAGGTCTAGATGCTTTTGAAAATTAAACTTGAAACCAAAAATCATTTGTAGTAATGATTTTTTATGAAATGGAAATTTTGGTCTGATTATCACAACTTTAGATTTAATCAGTATTTGCAAAACTGTATCGTATTGACGGTTTGACGAAAAAATACCCTTTCGAAGCCCAAGCATGTAGACCATTTTAGTTGCCTGAAATGGTTGAATGATGATTTCAACACAAAATATCTTATCTGAGACTTTTCGATGCAAATTTTAATATGGTTTACGAAATGTATACCAAATTAATATAGATAATAAAATGAATCAATCGAAATCAGAATAATTCTCAAAATAGATGAACCAATTTTTTATGTTGAGTTTAAATATACTTTCAGTTAACAAACTACATAAATCTTAAATAATTAAATATTAAATCATACGTTTTCCCGATAATTAAAATTTCACTTTTGCATGTCAACTTTAGGGAGTTAAATAAATTAAAATGAATGGATTATCATTGTCAGAGGATTCACCTCGTTTGTCGATAATCCTTTCCTTGTTATTGTGTATAAAAATAAAAGTTGATTTAATACTCCTCCTTTTATTGACTTCTCCATCGCAACCTTCAGTATCTTCAAAATA